ATAAGGATTCACACTTGTTCTGAAGGTCAGCTGGTCACACGTCAATAACAGCAAGGATTATGTAGTCAGAAACCTAAGAAAAAACAGAAGTTTCACAAACAGTGGGGTTTACTTCCAACACACTGTGATGCACTGGTGTTTACATGTGCCCAATTAAGTACAGTTAGGGATTATATTATTTAGTTTTAACTAAACTGACTCTCACAACATGGAGAAGTAGCTTTAAAAAAATTCCTGCAAAGACTGCAACGATAATAACTACACAAGTACAAGCCAACAAATTGCAGGGCTAAGACTCTTAACTAGTACAAGCTATTCTTCAACCACATCACAATGTAAAATAATCTAGTCAGTCAATCACAACGCTCTAACCAGAAATTATTACTTGAGAATAAAAAAGTACTATTAACAGAAAGTATTAAGATTGTTTATTTTTCTCATCTTTTTTAAACATCTAATTTATGTAACTTATTAGTATTCTATTATACTAATATCATACTGGCACACGCATATAACTTATAAACATTCAAGCACATATTAAAGGTGCATGCACATGGTTTCACTGGGAGGGGCACACTAAAAAATTTTTGAATATCCACTGCTTAAAGCACCAATTAAATCTTTTTCCCCTATAGGACAATGATCAATCTTCAGTTTGCCAGGCCCAGTATATTAGGCTGCAAGATGCCTCCCAGAGATATTCCAGTCCTAATCCCTGAATATGTTACTTTACATGCTAAAATAGTCTTTGCAGATGTGATTAAATTAAGGATTTTGAGATGGGGATATAATCCTGGATTGTCTGGGTGGGCCCAATGTAATCCCAAAAATGCTTGAAAAAGGAGGCAGGAGGATCAGTCCACAACAGATGTGAAGACTGAAGCTAGAGGTTAGGATGATATGAGGAAGGAGTCATAGAACACAGGTAGCCCTGGAAGCTGAAAAGGTTCAAGAAACAGATTCTTTTCTTTTCTTTTTAATTTTTTTTATTCTTTATTTTTGAGAGAGAGACAGAGAGACAGTGCGAGCAGGGGAAGAACAGAGAGAGAGGGAGACACAGAATCTGAAGCAAGCTCCAGGCTCTGAGCTGTCAGCACAGAGCCCAACACAGGCCTCAAACTCACAAACAGTGAGATCATGACCTGAACCGAAGTTGGACACTTAACCCACTGAGCCACCCAGGCGCCCCAAGAAACAGATTCTTTATCTCAAAGACTTAAGAAGGAACCAACTCTGTTGACACTTGACTTAAGCCCAGTTAAGACTTATTTTGGACTTCTGGGGTGCCTGGGTGGCTCAGTCGGATGAGCGTCTGACCTCAGCTCAGGTCATGATCTAGTGGTCCATAATTTCGAGCCCTGCGTCGGGTTCTGTGCTGACAGTTCGGAGCCTGGAGCCTGCTTTGGATTCTGTGTCTCCCTCTCTCTCTGCCCCTACCCCACTCATATTCTCTCTCTCTCTGTCAAAAATGAATAAACATTAAAAAAAATTTTAATATTAAAAAAAAGACTTATTTTGGACTTCTAACCCCAGAACTGTAAGATAATAAATGTATGCTGTTTTAAGGCACTAAATTTTTGACAACTTGTCACAGCAGCAGTAGGAAATCATACAGGGAATTCCTGGGACATGGGACTTTGAGAAAACCAGGATTAAGTTGGTTACCCTATTTTGAGGTTTTCAATGCCCATAACAATGTATGATACATAATGAGCATGAGAAAAATCTTTGTTGAATATTTTATGATGAAATATATAGATAATATACCCTTACTATTTTATAAAGATCTGTCATACGGATGATCTCATTTCATCCTTCTAACAATCCCATGAGGTGTGAATGAATTACTTTCCTACTTTTAGGATATACAAACTAAGGTTCAAAGAAATTACATACAATGTGTAAGGACACATATCTAGTAAGCAATGGAGCCATACCTGGAATACAGGCCTTCTGACCTTTGACAACAGTCAGGATCCTCTACCGCGAGTCAGGCTGCCTGGACTCCAATCTAAGCTCCTAAACTTAATAGCTGCCTAACTTTGCCAAATTACTTAACTTTCCTACTTCCTTAACTATAAAATGAAAAATGAGGTTTACAATAATACTTACCTCATAGGGTTGCTGTGAAGAGTGAATGTGCTAAAATGTGTAAAGTACACATCATAAACTAGACACAGAGATAGATGACAATAAATATCAGCTATCATTATAACTCTGTACTGTAGCTACGGTACATTTATACCTAAAATACTCTGTAGTACTTGATAAAGAACCACATAATATATGCAAAAGTAAAAAACAGCAACCAGAATGAATGGTAAGATGGAAGGATGGGTTTCGTGTGAAAGTACTCTAAGGTTAGGACTCTAGGCTGAAAAGACAAAAGGAGAAGGGCAACATAATCAAGACCTATAAAAATGTGAGAGTATAAACAAGGAGATAACAAAATTCAGCTATATTGGTTGGAGGAGGGAGGAGAACCTTAGAAACTAGAGTACTGTAGTATGAGCACACAGCATTCATAAATTACAAAACGATACAATGTAAAAAAGAAACTGATCACAGAACTTGAGACAATTTATGAATGACAAAGAAGACAAAAAAGGCTACTAAGAGGAGCTTAACTCTTCTGTAAACATCTGTTGAACACCACAATGGCTTACCATATCTATTACTGCTAAAGGGGGAATAGAGATGTTGGGAAATGACATACAGACCACATGGTAGCAAGAATTAGACCTTCAGTTGAATCAGTGCAATAATTTCAATATTTCATTATGTCTCAAAGACATAACATACCCTCTGCCCATCGCTACCATGTACCACTTCTCTTCTCCAATCGCATCATCACCCTACCAAGAAAATCTCAAGTCTAAATGTCCTCTTTTCAATGCCCTTTTAATGGCTTCAGTAAAGAATAATTAAAACATCCCTAAATTTGGCAGTCCAAACTAATCTCAAAATATACTACCTCAATTGTTTCTTAACCTAAACTTTCTTAAACTTTTCACTCTTTATTGAAACCCTCAACATCTATTCTTCACTGTGAGAGTCAACAAACTTTACAGAACTTTATGACTACTACTTTCAATACTAAGCTGACTGATTTTTTTCCCCCCGACAGGTCATGATATTCTCACTACTGCTAATGAATAAAGCTGAGAAACCATACTGAAGTAAGCCTAAACAAAAGATAGCCAGAAGTTACACCAAGTAACAGAAGCATGGTTAATTTAAATACACAAACGATTTTAGAAAATACATTGTAATGTTTCTACCATCCATTAAAATTGAAGAAAAAAAAATCATGTTTAAGGATACAAACTTGCAACTAATAGATAACTAAGTCCTGAAGATTTGGTGTGGGATATAGTGCATGTAGACAATGATATTGTATGACAATCATTAAACTTACTCTGAGACTAGGTCTTAACTACTCTGACCACAAAAAAGAAATGATCATTTTACAGGACAGGATAAATGTAGTAACTATCACTACAATGGCAATCAAATGACAATATACAAACGTACACCTTTACACAATGCTACATGTCAAATATGTTTCAATTAAAAAAAATTAGAGATACTGATACATTTTTAAACTTGAATGAAAAGCATACCCTTTGTCCTAGGAGCCGTTTCAGAAAGTGCTGGTGAAGAATAACATGGTATAAAGATGGGCAAAATCAAGGACAAAGAGGAAAGAAATGACGTATAACCCATACGCTACCAAGCAGCCCCCAGGAAAAGGTGGATAGGAGCAAAAGGGCTTGGTATCTCACCTGCAAATTTAAACTTAAAATGCGGTGAGTGGACTCATCTCCTGCATGCACTTCTTCATACCCAACATGATACTAACAAGCAGAAAGAGGGAAGGACAGTGCTCCTGTTAAAAGCGTTTGGAATTAAAGTCAAAAGGCCAAATGTTTTATTCTCTAAAACTTCTATCAATCTTCCAATCAAAATTCCTCAGCCAGGCAAGGGCTTTCCTTTTCCTCTTATTTATTTTTTGATGTGAGCAACAACTCTCCAACTTCAGAATCTTTGGAATCCATTGGGCACCGGTAAAAATGAAGACATTGTTGGTGTTTTCCAGAAATAAACAACACAAGGAACTTAGTTTATCTCGACTTTAATATAATAAACAGCAAACCACTGACTGAAGAAGCATCTTTCCAGTCAGCTAACGTCACACGTCTCTGAAGAAATTCCGTCGGAGGGGGGAAATGTCTTTTCCCAGTACGATGACAGCAACCCTTTTACTGACACGCTCTTCGCGCCTCAAAGACGCCCCAATACGCCAAGGATCAACAGAAACTCCATAAACTTGAGGAACAAAGCACCCTTCCCGCCTTCAAAACACAGGGCTTATCGTCCCATTACGAGGCGACATCAGCAGAAACTGCTGTACACACGACACCTAAGACACTCTACTGAACCAACGGCTTTCCATCATCTACCTCTTGACAAAGTGCTTCATAATGTCCCCCAAAGTTTCCAGAACAGCAGCCCCAAGTGCACCCGAGGCCAAAGACAGCAAGAAATGGCCCAAACTACTGCTTGTACATTACTCTCACCCTCGTGACAATCACGTTGTTTTAAAATCGCTCGTCGGGAACACACCACATCCGACACTCCTTCTGCCCTTCTCACACTACGAAAGCGAGTGGCTGGCAGGAAAGCCGAGCAACTTACCTGGCGTCTGAGAACTGCCCAAACGCCCCACCGTCTCCCAGCGGCACCGTCACTGAGTACAAAGGCACTCAGGTGGTCCATTCTGCTCAGGCACCTTTCTCTCCCACTTTGCACTCTAAAACACACCGTGAACATCTCCCAGAGCACAGCCAGGCCGGCCAGCGGGAGTAATCCGTGTGTCGCTCCGTAAGGGCCTTGGAGACCCGCACCCTAACAGCCAAGACGATTGGGGGGGGGGGGTGTGACCCGGGCTGCTCCCCTCGCCCCTCACGGGAAACTCCCATATCGTCGCGGCAACTCACCAGATCAGGGAGCACAGAGACAGGCAGGAGACCAGGGCCAAGGCCCGCCGGTACTTCTTCATCTTCTCCTCCTTCTTCCCCCTGCCAGAAGGCGGCACATCCTCCCGGCAGCCGCCACTGCCGAGGCCAAGATGGAGGAGCCGGAGCAGGAGCGCGAGGATGGGACCGAGAGTCCTTAGGGCTGCGGCGCTCGGGGAGTGGCTCCTCAGCGGCTCGCGGACTGGCCGCCCTCTCCGAGGGGCCCACGGCGGCGCCGACAGGGGCGCTTCACAGGAGGACTCCTGGGACTGCCGCTGCTGCCGCAGCCGCCGGCTCGTCCGCGCCCGCCTCCTGCAGCCGCCGCCGCCGCCACTGCCGCCCCATATCCCCCCCGCCCGCCCCGGCTCTCCCTCCGTGCTGCCGGCGACCAACGGCCGCAGCGTCCTCGTCTCCCAACAGCCAATCGCCGGCGGGGCCGCGCCACCTCACCCACCGCTGAGCTGGAAGAAGACGCGTCACCCACGTCCCGCGGCGCTCGCGCCCCCACCAGCCTCCGCGCGGGCCACGCCCCCTCCGACGTCTCAGGCGGAGCAGCCGGAGCGGGGAGGGCACACAGCGCGAGAGCCGGTGTTGCCGCCGCCCCGCCCACCTCAAAGTCCGCGCGGTCAGTGGCTCACATTCAGGAAGTCGGAGAGGACCCTCGTGACCCTCAGCTGTCTTTTTCTCCTTGGTCCGCCCCTTCGCCCAGGGCGTGCCGAGTCCGCGCAAGGCGCCTTGGGAGTTGTAGTTTGTCCTCTGGAACGCTCCTTTCCCATTCTCTAGTCCTCATAGAATCACAGTTTTGATGGAGAGGTCTATAGTTTCACTTCTCACCGCCAGAATGACCAGCTTTGGAATTGTTACACTCAGCTTTCCTCTTTTGAGCACAGTTCGTGGGATGGCCTAGAATGACGGAGGGGAAAAAAAGCTATACTAATAAAATTTAAAAAGGTGTTTTCCCGGTGTCGATGGGCCCAGCCCATCGAGTTAGGTGCTGATTGGTAGGAAGAAAGGGGTGTGCCCAGATCCCCTCTCACCTGATTGGTTGGGCGGAAAGTCTCTCGCTTCTTCTCTGCCTCAGGGAAATTTCACCGTCCTGGATTCCTCTTTTGGGGCCGGTGGAGTTGGTATGCATTCTGTTGGATTCATGCTTAGGGTGCACAACGCAAGAGCCTGAAAGGAAAACTTGGGCTCCTGTTAAGGGAGTTGGAATTCACCGAAAGCGAGGAAGGCGGTCACGTACACACGCGTATTGCTACTGTGCGGAGCAAAAAAGTGTCTGGTTCTCAATCTTTAGTAAGGAGCAGTGTGCCCACCCTGGATTTTTATGCCACTGGGGTCCCTAAAGATCTCTCGGTAGCTGGTTTCTGCCTGAAACTCCAAAATGCTTGACCGCCTTTCGTCTCAAGACCCTCTTGTAGCTCTCTTCTCTTACATGGCACAGAGTATAGAGGAAGAGGTATTCGCTTCTGCAAAGGGGAGAAGACGATGTTTGGCCGCTGGCCTAATGTGTTCCTTCATCTCTCAGGTGATATATTCCTTTCAGACTGACACTGACAGGAAGTTAGTCTCTACTGAGGGATACTTCTTTTATTAGATAAAGACATAAAAGTATAACTCAGTAGTGTTTTCCTTTTTATTGTTTTGGCTGTCAGAAGACTCAAAACTGTTTTCCCCAGAAAGCTCCCAGCCAAATGCTCTGTCTGTGCTGTGGATCATGGCATAAGGTTTAGTGTAAAAAAAAAATGTTTGAAGCAGATATTACTTTTTAATGTTTGTTTACTTATTTATTTTGAGGAGGGGTAGGGACAGAGAGAGGGAGACAGAATTCCAAGTGGGCTCTGCACACTGACACTGCGGAGCTTGAGGCAGGCCTCCAACCCACAAACGGTGAGATCATGACCTGAGCCGGAACAGAGGAGATGAAATAGAGAGTCGGATGCTTAACTGACTGAACCACAGAGGTGCCCCTTAAAGCAGATATTATTAAAACATGGGCCACACATATTGCCATGTGTCGTAGGGGAAAACATGAAACACCTTAGTAAAATGCCCTTCTGATGCTTAAATTTGAGCCACGAAATTTCCTTATAAACCTTTTAAGTTGAATTGTTGTTAATTGTATTCCAGGGACCTGAATAATTTAACCCATTCTAAGAGACTTGAAATAAGTCAACTGGATGTATTTTAAAAATTCTATAAATGGGGATTTGCTTCCAGAGGAGTTTACCCTAAACTAATTTTCCTGGCAATAATTAGGTGGCAGTTCCAATGATCTATTGATACCACTCTTAGTATATAACAATAAGATCCTTTCGTCTCTATTTCTCCTTACAATAGGTGTGCATTTATTTGCTCAAGAGCAGTAGCAAATGATGATATGAAAGTTAAAAAGAAGATAGGGACAACAGAAAGATGGGGATTATTTGACATTCTTTAGCATGTTGGGCACCCTTTTCCTTTCGTTCCAGGAATTTATTCAGGATAAGGAACAGTTGCTCTTCAGGTGATCCTCAGTAGAGTACAGCCAAGGAAGTCCTATAAGAATACATGCTTATCTTGGGGCGCCTGGGTGGCTTAGTCGGTTGAGCATCCGACTTCCGCTCAGGTCACGGTCTCGCGGTTTGTGAGTTCGAGCCCTGCATAGGGCTCTGTGCTGACAGCTCAGAGCCTGGAGCCTGCCTCAGATTCTGTGTCTCCCTCTCTCTCTCTGCCCCTCCCCTGTTCATGCTCTGTCTGTCTGTCTCTCTCTCTCTCTCTCTCTCAAAAATAAATAAACATTAAAAAAAAAGAATAGATGCTTATCTCGAGGCTGGCAAATTATCAGGCACCTTTTCAATCCCCTTTCTCCAAACCACAAGCCCACCCACTACTTTTCCACAGGTCCCTACAATGATCTTTTCTTTTTTTTTTTCCTCTTTTTTTTAAATGTTTTTATTCATTTTTTTTTTTTTTTGAGACACACACACACACACACACACACAAAGTGTGAGTAAAGGAGGGGTAGAGAGAGAGAGGGAGGCACAGAATCTGAAGCAGGCTCCAGGCTCTGAGCTGTCAGCACAGAGCCCAAAATGGGGCTCCAACTCTCACGACTGTGAGATCGTGACCTGAGCCGAAGTCAGATGCTTAACTGACTGAGCCACCCAGGCGCCCCCCTAGAATGATCTTCTAAAATATACAGCTGGTAGACAGAATTTTCCTCCCCTTCTTTCCTTCCTTCCTTCCTTTGTTCCTTCCTTCCTTCTTTCTTCCTATTCCTACTGTTGGGCTTTATTGATACCCCTGTGGCAGGGTTGCCTTTCACCTATTCAATCATTAGCTTTATTTCAATCAATAAATATTATTTTTTCTTTCTGCCTGTTTCATTTCCATAGCTCTGTGGTAAGGCATAGTCTTCAGTTCTCTGAGCTTTTTCTTTTTTTGGATACTTCATAATTCCAGTTATTAGCTAGACTGTTGACTCCCAGGTCTATAGCCAACCTCTCTTCAAGTAGTTGCTGGACATGACATTTAGATATTCTACCATAACTGCAAATTTCCCTCAATAAAATAGAACTCATCTTCCCCATAAATTAGGTTCTTCACCTGACTTTCTATTTATGATCGTTTGTCCTTGTTTTAAGACTTCAGATAGTGAGAATAAGTGAAGTTCCATGGAGGTGAACTTTGAAAAACTGGATGTTTTCTACATGGTTGTTAAATAAAGGAAAAAAAAATATGTTATGACTCAATAGATAAATATAACAAGAAAATTAACTTGAATTACAAAATAAATTTAGTATAGAAAAATGCTACCATATTTAAAGCACAACATACGCCAAAGAATGGCAAAGAATATAGAAAACATGTATGTAATCTTTAAGACCTGGGCTAAGTAACCACCATCTACCACCTCGTAACTATACCGCAATGGTACTCAACCAGGGGCAATTTTTCCCCTTGGGGTGGGTGTGGGGGAATGGCAACATTTAGAGACATTTTTGGTTGTTACAGTCGAGGAAGTGCCACATCTAGGGATAGAAATCAGAGATGCTACATCCTACAATGCACAAGACAAAAAATTATTTGGCCCAGAAAGTCAAAAGGGCAAAGCTTGAGGAAACTCTGCCATAACAGAATCTCCCAAGTTAATAAAGCCTGTAACTAAGTGACCACGCATGCGCACGGCAGATCCTAGGATTATTCCAGAAGTCACTAAGGACTAAACTGCCTGATGAACATGAGTTCTTCATTCCTAAACATGGTCCAAAAAACTCTGGACAGCTCAAGTCTCTGCCCTGATAAAAGATCAGATACTCTGCTGATAGTGAGAAAGAACAAGCAGATCTCAGAAAAGGAGCCAACACCTCTGGCCATCTCCCTTTACCGCTATTCACATGTAAATCATATTTAAGAAGCCCCTGAGAACAGATATTTGTCCAGTTTAAGTTGGTGACATTCGATAGGGGAGCCATGGCATATTTTGAATTGAAATGCTGTCTGCCTCTTTCAATGCTGAGATACTATGTATCTCTAAGAGGAACAGGTGAGGCTCAATGATATCAGCTGCTTCCAGAGTGAAAGCCAGTTAGGACACAAGTCCTCTTGAAATCAGTGAAAGAAAGGTCAAGGATTTGAGAAAAGACGAATAGGCAATAAGGGGCACTAAACCAGTTGAAAAGAAGTATGAATGTGGCAATCAGCACTTAAGATGTTAACTACATGTAGATACAGTACAGAATTTTCTCCCTGTTTGTCCCCACTCCATTTGTTGCTGCTTTCTTTGAGTGTGTGTAGCCATGTGCACAAAATACCTTATACCTGTTTTATTTAGTTACTCCTTATTTAAAGAGAGCCTAAACTATTTTGTCAAATCTATCTTAACAAAGCACTGATAATGTGGCCGCTTCAGGAGGTAAAGGTAGAACTAGGAGGAAGATAAACTAAATAAACTCCTTCTCTAGGACAGCCTGAGAACTCAGTCCCCTAACAGAGGAATCAAAAACTGCAATGTTGGCTTGTTCACTTCTGTTTATACTGCAAGCAACAGAATATAACATTTCCCCTTAAAAAATATTCTACTTTATGATCCCAAATTTAATCTTCTATCACTGGCTAATATGTGTCTATTTTGAGGGTACATGAGTTTCAGTAGGCTAATAATGGAATCAGCCAGAGGAAGGATAACTCAGGAAGTGGGTGATAGGAAGAAATCAAAGATGGTTTCTAGGACAGAGTGCAGTCTTCACATAAATAGGAAAGTGGGGAGTTGCAGGTTTGCAGGGAAGTTTAGTTTGGTAGTTTGGTATTGAATATTTGGAGTTCTGGTACAGTATTTAGCAAGAGTTTACAAATACAAGGGGCGCCTGGGTGGCTCAGTCGGTTAAGTGTCCGACTTCAGTCATGATCTCGCCGTCTGTGGGTTCGAGCCCTGCGTCTGGCTCTGTGCTGACAGCTCAGAGCCTGGAGCCTGCTTCAGATTCTGTGTCTCCTTCTCTCTCCGCCTCTCCCACGCTTGTGCTCTGTCTCTGTCTCTCAATAATAAATAAACATTAAAAAAAAAAAAAAGAGTTCACAAATACAAGATTCCAAAGAGGGAGAGAAAAGCAGCAACTGAAGACAGCATATTGGGGGCTCTCGCTGCTGTGTCCTTCAGTACCTGCTGAATACGTTTCAGATGAAGCTTCCTAAAACATTACCTACATCACGTCCTTGTTTTGATAACAAAAATCTCCCTCAGATCTTAAATATCTCTTGAATAAAGTCTTGCCTTCTTGACCTGGCATTTGAAGCTTTCCATAATCCAACTCAGCTGAGGGTTCAAGACTTATCCCCCCACTATTTCCTTTTGTGTCTCAACCTTCTCACCAAACTCTACTGCTTGCCATCTCCTGAAACACCTGTGTTCTCTGTTCTCATGACGTTCTGTCTCTCTGAACAGTGTATAAATTCCTTATGCAAGAGGTCATGTGTTATATATACATGAAACACAACGATTTTT